TGTCATTTGGGCTATTAGTAACCTTTTCACGGCCAAAGTAATTTTGTACATACGTCCACGAACTAAAAAGAGTGATCACCATATAAAATATCAATTTTATATTACTGGAATTACTGGAATGATATTTATCATTATATATGACGAATATGGAAATAGCAAGTAAGAAAGCTCTAGTCAAGAAAGCTCGACTACGAGATCTCCTGAATATATATATATATCAATAATTCTTGAAATGACACACACTCTCACAGACACACACGCATAAGCACGCATGGGTTGAAGTGTGGGCTTACTATGAGAATTTAATGGCTTAATAACTTTTCTTGGGGATGGACTTTCTTCACGAAACTTTTAGATTATACAATATTATTAAAATGCATGCGTTTGCCAAAGCGGTAAGTTTAGAATGCATAAATAATTCAGAAGTTCCATTGGGAATCAGACGGATGGGTCAGTACCAACTCAATAGTTGATACTTTATCTTTATTTTATGATGCTAAGTATTCGTGCTGAGTCAAAACACTTTTGGATAATACCCTCATGAAATAATAAAAAGTCCACAGCTCCTTAAAGCTAACAATATTATTGGGAATTCATTAAAGGTTTCTTTTTTCAGCTGATGTACGTAGAACACGTTTTCGGCTCTTAGGCACCAATCCCTATCCAATATTCCTCAATACATAACAGGTTAGCACGGCATGCATGGTGAACACGAATCGCAACAAGCATTCCGATTGCATGTGAAACTGAAATAGGTTTTATATAGGTGAATATGTACCGATAAAAGAATATTGTGAGACAATACCATCTTGAGAGGTCACGCTTTTCCAAGTGTACACGAAGGAAATCACAGGCTCGAACTTCATCATAGCGACTTTGTCTATGAGAACAGTCTGGTTTGCCAAATCTTCCGCCCTTGTGCGTGAATTTCGATCCCATGTTACCTTTTCGGAGTCGCAATCTGCTGCCATTCCTAGACAATTTGGATTTTTCACCCGATCTCCTTGATCCCCGACCACGTTCATTTCCATCTCCTCTGCTATCTCTCTTATCAGCTTGAGATGCTCGCCCAGTATCATCCTTTCCCTTTTTCCCCCTTTCAAATTTTGTATTAATATCCTGTTCGTCTGCTGACGTTCCCTTTCCTTTCTTTATTGTACTATCTCTTGAACTCTCTTTACTTTTCTTCTCTTTATTTGTAATACCATCCACTGTTATTGAACCTTTCGTATCTCCTTTAGACTTGCCTTCTTTTCCAGATTCGTTAAGTTTATCGTCTTTTCCACCACTTCCTTGACCTTTTTTTGATGTTTTTGAAGGATCGCTATCATCGGCATCTTTTCCGCCACCTTTACCATCAGCCCCTTTGCCATCCTTCGCGGATTTCTTCGATGGATCGATACTATCGGCATCTTTTCCACCACCCTTACCTTCCGCACCTTTCCCATCCTTTTTAGATTTCTTTAAAGGATCGCTGTCATCAGCATCCTTTCCACCTCCTTTACCATCACCTCCTTTACTTGCCCTCTTTGATTTCTTCGAAGGATCGCTGTCATCGGCATCTTTTCCACCACCCTTACCATCAGTTTCTTTGCCATCTTTCTTGGATTTATTTGAGGGATCGCTATCGTCGGTATTTTTTCCACCACCCTTACCATCAGCTCCTTTACTTGCCCTTTTTGATTTATTTGAAGTATCTCTTTCATCGGCATCTCTTCCACTACCTTTACCATCACCTCCTTTACCATCCTTTTTCGATTTCTTAGCAGGTTCACTATCATCCGCGTCTCTTCCACCACTTTTACCATCCCCTCCTTTGCCTTCCTTTTTCGACTTTTTTGATGGGTCACTATCATCAGCATCTCCTTTTTTACCTTTCGAATCTTTCTCCCCTCTCGACAATGCAGCCAAGTTCATTTTGCCTTCCCCTTTTGGATCTCCGTTTTTGGATGCATTATTTTGAGATCCGAATTCATCACCCTTGCCGCCTTTTTTATTAGATGGATTCCTACCTTGTGCCTTCAAATCCAAGCTTCCTCTTCCTCTTTGTGAATCCCTGCCGTACCCTCCTTCACCGTCACCATAATGGTTTTTAGAATAAGGGTCGTCTGCAAACATTTGAAATTTATTAAAAGCTCGCTGATTAATTTTTACATGACATACATTTTTGACCGTCAGAGCATCGACCATTGATGCTGTAACCTCCATTAAATACGGTATACTTTTCACGGCACTGCTGTCGGTTATAGCTTTTTATTATCTTATGGCAAATCCGTTTTAGTAGTGAATAGGTATGATCATTCAATAAGGATTGCCTACAGCACGGATAGCAACAGCATTGACTGCATTTGTTGTAATTATCGTTGCAAAAAATTTTGGTTGTACTAGACGAACTGCTTTAAAGTAAAATATTAATAGATAAAAAAAAAATAATAATTAAAGGCTGGTAATAAATATGCACACTCTCGCTCTTTATAAAATAGTCAAGCTTTATTGCTATTCAAATATATATCATGTCGTCGAGTTTTGATTAATTGGGTAAGCGTGTTATAGTCGTATTCTACTTAAATAAATTATATAAATAAAGACACAGAGAATCAAATTTTTTGTCTAGCCCGAGCGAATTCTTCTTAACAAAACAGCTATGGAAATGGTATACCATAAAATGATAAGATTAAATCGCGAATAGTACACCGGAATTGAATATGTGATTTGCACAGCTTTATGAAAGTCGGGCAAATAGCACCTCTAAGTTTGAAATCTATAACTTTTGTAGTTACCGGGATCCACGCGTTGACCCAAGATATAGATATTAGATTGGCATCACTAGAAATCTAATGTCGTGCTTTCATAGCAATCTTTGCAACCCACGAAGAATTTTACATATTTATATAATGATTTTACTCAATAGCACTATATAAAACACATGATACATACCTAGATGGTGGTAGACAACAAATGCGCTCTAAGTCAAAACCCATTTTATTATATACATTTTAAATTGGAATTTAGTGTAAAAAACTAATTTTCAAAATTTGATCTACTAAAATATTGTGAAATGTGACATAAAACGCGTTGGAGATTAAGGCATTTTTGGAATTTTGCGAAACTGAGGAATATAAAGTCATTATGTATATATGTACATCTAACAAGTAAGAAGGCTCTAGTCGAGACTGCTCGACTAGGAGATACCCTGAACC